TGGACCTTGAATAAAGCAAGATATATGACCTAGCCCTGCTCTAAATCAATCAGAAAATGGTCTTCATTAAGCCGCTGAAACTTCCAATTTGAAAACATCTTTATAAAGGAAACCTCATCTGAGTCTTTGTTCTGCAAAGATACAAGAAATTTTCAGGGAATAAATCCCAGAAAACTTTAACAGCCTACTCCACTATCTTCCAAGACACATAAACCTTCATAGACTCATTAAAGCACTCTCCCTATCTCCTAAAGCTTGATGCTGGAATGGAGGACGGTCAAATAAATGATTCACATGCCAGAAACGCGAAAGCATCGGCATTACCTCTTTCTGTAATTCGTTTTAATTATACCAGATAACAAGAAAAAAGGAAATTATGTACCATGAAAAATTAGGCCCCAATAAGAGGATAAAAGAGAAAGTCAAACAGTATGTGAATCATGTTCACTTAGCTACACTCACGCCTGAATTTGTTTATTTGGAAGTTAACATGGCACCTGGGAATTAGAGTGAGGTACCTCGGTTATGTATAATGCATGCAGTACTCCTCGAACCAGCAGCAGTTGTGCATCTTGCCTCATGAAGACATGATATGTGGCTCAGTACAGTGTTAAGAACACTGTTTTCTTAGAGTCAAGTGATCCGAATAAACAGTAGTGAAAACCTGTGGGAGCAAACACTCTTATCACAGATCTACATTTCATTGGGAGGATAGGGTGGCACCAAGCCAGCTGCTTTAGAGAATTGGAGCAGTGCTTTGTTTGGGTAAATGCATGCAGATCCATATGCTAAAGATAAAATAAGCTTAAGGCCTTGATTGTCACCAAATAGTATATTACCATTTTGCACAGCATAAACTTTCACGGTGCGGTACATAAAACATCATCTCAAGAGGCAGAGACAGATGGCTTCCCTTTGTGCGTGTGGTTACCTGATAAATGTGAATGTATCTGTAAACAGGTAAAGAAAGAATAAGATAAAAGTATGAAATGATTTGTATTGATCTCCATGGGTGCAATTCAATAGTCAAAGGTCAAAGATGCTTTTGTGGTGGTAAACACCAACTGTACAGTTATACTAGGCCTTACAGCTCACACAGCTGTGTGGACGTTAGAATACTAGTTACATTTACCAAAGGAATCGTGTTACAATCTGCTCCTATCACTCACCAACTGTTCAGTTTGATCATATACCCAAACAAAGTCCCAGTTATGTGCTTTTGTAGTGAGTCAGTAGCATCTTCATATTATACAGTACTGTCTTGAGGATGCAGACCTTTTCACAGTAGTCTTAAACAATAGTTCTCTGGGCTTTCTGAAGGTTTTTATTTGGACTTTGGCTGCTTTGTCATTCATTTTCAGTCCAGTCCTTGTACCTTACAGTCCATGCATTCATCTTTAGTAGGCTTGATTACTGTAACAGCATCTTTACAGGTCTACCTAAAAAACCAGTCAGACAACTACAGCTCATTCAGAACTCTGCTGCTCGAGTCCTCACTAAGACCAAAAAGTGGACCACATCAGTCCAGCTCTGAGGTCCTTACACTGGCTGCCTGTCCGTCAGAGGATAGACTTTAAAGTTCTGATGCTGGTCTATAAACCTCTGAATGGTTTAGGACCAAAATACATCAGTGACCTCCTGACCCAGTATGAACCTTCCAGATCCCTCAGGTCATCTGGATCCGGTCTATTATCAGTTCCCAGAGTCAGAACCAGACACGGAGAAGCTGCATTCAGCTTTTATGCTCCTTATATCTGGAACAAACTCCCAGAAAGCCTCAGATCAGCTGAAACACTCAGTTTATTTAAATCCAGGTTGAAGACTCACCTGTTCTCAGCTGCATTTGAATAAAACACAAAATCCACACTTTTAAGCTTAAATTTCAAAACTTACATTTAACTACTGATTTTACCTACTTTTTTTAAAATAAATTTTAAATCATGCTTTGATTTGTTTTTGTTTTTTAATGTCTCTGTAAAGCACTTTGAATCACCTTGTTGTGCTATATAAATAAACTTGCCTTACCATGTACATAATACATAGCATTATAAATGCAGAAACATAGCATCTTGGAAATCGATACAAGCTTTAGTTTTCAGCCTGACACACTAGCAATGCAGTGAAAGCACACCTGAACAGAAAGAGAAAACACACAAGGTCTGAGCACAGACCTCAACATTACTGAAGCAGTGCAGGGTCACGATAGAATCACAATAGAAGACTGAACAAAAAGCAGTCAACATCCAAAGATTTGAATGTCCTTCTACTCATAATCGACAGTAGAAAAACATTCAGTTAATTAACATGATGTTTTAGAAATCCATCCATCCATTCGCTTATCCTTCTTCAGGGTCGCAGGGTACACCCGGAACATGTCGCCAGTCTGTTGCTAACATAGGCACAGACAACCATTCACGCTCGCCTTCATGCTTCTGGACAATGTAGAGTTTCCAATCAACTTATCCCCTATTATGTCTTTGGGAGGAAGCTGGAGTAGTCAGAGAGAACCTGCACAAACAGGGAGAACATGCAAACTCCACACAGAAGCAGCAGAATGGTGGCATTGAACTCAGGACCTTCTTGCTATGAGGAAACAGTGCTGACCACTGTACCACCGTGCTGCCTTGTTTTAGACTGTGTATACTGTGGTGTATAATCAATTATGTAAAAGGTTGAGGCTTTTAAGATACAATTATTGTCTCAAAAACATCAGGCATGACATTTGATTCTTTGATCTTTTGTAGTACATCATACTGAAGACCAAGTAGTGACCCATCGCAGTATGACAGTCCTCACTGGATAAACCATGAATGGGTTACTGACCAGCTTTCCTGAACACAAGGCAACTAAGCCAAGTGAATCCTGCTTCTATGAATTTCAGCCATGATATATTTAGTTTTGCAGATGTGAGCTCCAATGTTTATCAGGGATGGAGCATCATTCACGTAGAGGTCCATGCTGTTATTTAGCAGCGCTAAAGGAACTGCAGCTTTTTGCCACTAATGGTGTCATTTCACATCCCAAATCTTGCTTAGAAATACTTCATAAGTTTTCCTGTTGGGTGGGAAACTAATCTTGTGACATGAGAAAAGTGTACAGCTGTGTCTGTGGGATATCAGATTATACAAGTGCTGAGTCAAACAAGCTAACATCTACCATAAAAATAGGATTTAATTAACCTACACAATAGCTTTTTTGGCCCATTGGAGACGACTTTTATTAGAGTAGTACTGGCCCAGCAAGGTTAGAAATAAAAGCACAGTGACGGATGTTTCCTATTAACAATGTTTTCTCTTTGTAATTTGATTTTGTTTTTGTCATTTGCCCTTGATCAATGGACTGAAACATACACTGCCAAGTGCTGTGGGGCCTGAGATTTATTTATTTATTTCCCCCCATTTCAGATCTTCGGATTCTTTTACCTTACAGACAAGAAATTTCATTCTTATTTTGGGACCACATCTCCCCAAACCCATTCATAGGGGAAATAAAAGCAGATAATAACTTGGTAAAAAAAGAATAATTATGAAACTTAATTATACAATGTTTGGGATCTAAAATAATTCCCTTTACCAAGCCAGTTAGTGAAGGCAGCATTGAGAAATTAACTTCAAATACAACTTGGAACAAAGCAAAAACAGTGGCTCACTGAGAGAGTTTATCTCCACGATTGAAACCACCGGTGTTCCTTTGGACCATGAAATTGTCATTTGTTCTGCTAGCATTACATCAAATGAGAGTTCAGGGCCATGCCAGGACCGTTTGTTGCTGCTGAGCTTATTTTAACTTGTTATCTGACAGAATCTCCATGGATAATTATATTTGGCTCAGACAGACAGGTAGAGAATGTCATCTTTCCACAGAGCCGGGTGAAAAGTCACGAGAACTGCCTAGGAGATAAATCGTGCAATACGAATCCTCGCGTGTGATTACAGTACAGTATGTACTGTAAGTGCAGGTGCATTTGGGCACATCAGAATATTTCAGAATGTTTTCATTTCAGCGTCTACAATGCGCATCTGTGTCAGAGAAAGCTTTTAGTGCCAGTGTGCTTCTGTGCACATGAGCACAATTAAGCAAAATAAATAAATAAATAATGTAACCACCATGAGAGATTACATTCTGCGACTTGCTTAAAACCATTAGAGAGGGAGAAGAGACGGCCAGGCAGAGGGGATTATTCTGGGCTGGAATGTGGAAGCAGCAGAATGCAGTGAGGAGGGGGAAATAAGGGCGACGTCGACAGTGTAGCACTGACAACAGCACTAGGAGGAGATCAGGTTAAAGAGGGTGGCACGGCGCCAGAGGACTGTTTTAAAGAGGAAAGAACAGAGAGAGAAAGTAGGGGGAAATGATTGAGGAATATTACGAGAGAGACAGAAAGGGGGGGGGGGTAGTTTTCCCTTTTTCTCCTTTTGGAATGGGGGGAAGAAAACTACAAGCGCAGCAGAGATTCCATCTTGCAAACAACAAACCAACCACAGGCCCTTCACCACGGACGGTGTACTGCCTTTCATGTATACTACATTTAGCGAGTGGCGGGGAGCAGGAGAGTGTTGTTGAGAGAAAGAGAGAAAGAAGCCATCAGCATTATGAAAAGCATCAGACCCAACGGAATATGGAGCAGCCACTTGATGACGCTATTTGATCCAAGTGGGGGTGCTGGTGGGGGAGGCGGGGTTGTAATGGCAGAAAAAAGGGGGCGGGGTAGTGTGATGGCACAGGCTGCAAGAAGAATAATGTAGCCAGACTGAAGAAGCCAAAAAAATAAAAAAAATAAACAATTACCAAAAAATAAAAATCCCCAAAACAAAAGATTAAAAAAAGAATAAATGCAAATATAGAGTATAAAAGACATACAGTGAAGCTGTACACCCAGCAGGCACTCCAGCCAGCCAACTGAAATAAATCGAGATGGAGGAGCGGTTTTCAGCTCAGGTTAGTATGAGGCAGCGGCTCACGTTGCTGATTTGGTGTACAGCATGGTGACATATACTGACCTGGGCTTGAGACAGCACTAGTGGTGGTGGGTTCAATAATTGCTACAGGGGAGGAGAGGGGGGGAGAGGGAAGGGGAGGGAAAGAGGACATTCATGTATTATTAACAGAATGGAGACATAAAAAAATAAAAATTTAAAAAATAAAATAAAATAATAAGAATAATAATAATAATAATGCATGCAAGGACAAAAAAGGACAGGGAATGACGACAAATCCTCTCCGTGCATTAAGGAGCGATGGCTATAGCGAGATGCAACCTCCTCGTGCTAATAAAAAGCACCTTTCCCCCCAGTTGCCTCTGATTTGCATGAATTGCTGCTAAGGCAAAAAAAAGAACAAGGGCGAACCCAGCAGCCGGAGCCAGTCCCAAACCCTGAAGGGATTTTGTGACCTGGTGAAAAGTCTTCATTTCTCTTCAGGAATACTCGGCCACCTGCACTTAGTGGGGGTAGTTTTTCAGTAGCAACACTCGGCTTAATTTTTTCTTTCCAAATCGTGTTTGGAGAAGGCGCTAAAGAATAAGCAGCAACAATGGGAACCTTCCTCTGAGGGAGGAACTCAATCTTGAATAGCTTTCAGGCTGATGGAATTATGTAACATCCAGTGTGGCAATCTAAACAGCTAGCTTGTGCTCTTTAAGTATATATGACACATAAGTCTTTGTACTTGTGTCACATATGCAGCAACGACCCCCCCCCGCAGATCTCGTATCAACACTCAACAATCACCTTGTCGACTAAATTGGTATGAAGATATCAGTGTAATGCAAACACTGCTGCCCATTTGATCTAACATAGCTGTTTGGTAAACAAGCACTCAATTTGAGAAAAATCTGTACCCACTTTGTGCAGTGACTCACTTGAGAGCAGAATCTGAAATGCGTAGCAAAAATCAAAGCTGTTCTTTACCATAAGGGCTAAACTCAAAGCGTGTTTTTGTGTGTTTTTCGCACATGATAGGCTATAAAAATATTTAGACTTCCTGCAAAGGCGCTATGTAAGATACAAGCCACCTTCCTCCTAAAAGGCTTCATGAGAGCAGAGGAGCTTAAATGTCACAAGAGAAATCAAAGCAGCCATGATTACGCCTTAAAAACATTCACACGAGGAATACAATGACTTTCTGTCGTTCCACCAGTGCCGCGCCACGTTAGCGATAGTGCAGAGGCTACTTAGTCTCTCTATTTTAATCCATTTACACGGGAACTCAATATGGGCACTACACCTGCGGGGCAAAAGAGGGTACGCTGTAGTCCGCACCATGCTCTCAAGCTGTGGTCTGTGTTGCTTTTCTGAAGCACTCAAACAAGTGTGTAATCACTGTGTTACTCTTTTACCGAGCCACTGTTATGCCAACAACAATAAAACATTTGCTTTCACGTCGTTTCATCATTCTATTTGAGGTGGAAATTGTGCAAGAATCAGTATTCATACGTGAAATGATATGCCTTTTTCCCTCGGTATATTGGTGAGGAAATGGTCGAATTCATCTTTTCTTCCACAAATGTTTCCACTTTAAGTAGTCCTGGGGGACCCGGTATGTGAAGAGAGTTTCTTTTCAGTTCTTCAAACAGCCAGCCGGGTGCTATCTGATTAATACTTGAGCATGGATTCACCACTGAATCATTTCATGAGCTCTCAAGACACTCCTCCATTACTGTGGAACATATCTTTTGACATGCAATCTCTCCCTCGTAGCTCCACGCCGACTTGGAGTTTCTCTCTCATTCAGGAGAGCGACGCATCATTTCACATACTGTATACGCCGGTCGGCCTCTCGCGCAGCTTGCTCCTTTTGCGAGATAAAACACATTAGTTTTCACAGCTATTTTATTTCATGGATTGCTATTCTCTTTGTTCTTTGTGAAGGGATAATGTGAGAGATTTATCTGACTCGATTTGAAGGAACCAGTGTTCACAGAGAGCCCAGCTCAGACTTTTAGCTCATTACAAGCATAAGGAGAAGTTAATACTAAAACTGTACACATCCGTTTTAGCTCTATGGGTTGCACGCAGGCAGCTATTCCAAAGAGACTTCTTGGAGTTTTCTCCTGTATGAGATGTGTTCAGAGTTAGATTCTTAACAAAGAAACACAAAATGTCTTTGGTATGCGAGTTTGTGCCAATATCCGAGTTTATAAAGTCACATTTCAGAGCCAACAATCTCAAAACTCATTAATTACTGGCTGGGTCAATAAAACTTATCACTAATCCTATTAAACCTCCATGGATAAAATATGGCGTGTTTGTGCAATGCCGCAGTAAAAACCGTACTTAGAGCCATAAAATATAGGAAGAGGAGATTCCAGACAAACTTGGATATAGTCCAATTTATCTCCGCTGCTCCATTTGAGAGCATTATCAAGGTATTTTTCATGCAGGGACACATGCCTGCATGAACATCTTCCTCACTTATTCCTCCATGATGATGGAATGGTCCATTTTCAAGGCTGTGCTCATTTGTGAGCCGCCCAATTAAGTATTCGCCCTTGTTCATTTTTAATGGCGGCAAGTGTGTGTGGGTACACACTCGGATCGCTCATCCAGGGATGAATGTCCATAAAGTGCTTTGTGCCTCCTATAGGAGTCGGCAGTGGTGGGTGGGGTGTTGTCGGGAATAAGCTCCGCTGCCTGCTGGGCTTCAGCACCAAACATCATCGCAGTGCAACTGGAAAATGTTAATGGCTTTTATGATTGCCTAAATATGGAAATGCAGGCATTCAAAAGACAGGTAAATGGTGCAACACTCTAAGGGCGCTTTTGGGGAAAATAAAGCGTATGGCAGCCTCGCCACGTTAAAGTTATTCAGTGTCTTTTTCATATGTGCGTGTTCTAAAAATGCCCTCAAATTATGTCGCGCTGCCTCTATTCAATGGTTTTAATGCTGGAAAACAATCAGCGGTCCAATATTGCCAGGACACGCTTCTGTTTTCTAACCAATGCGGACAAATATAAAAGAGGAGTCATTTTAAACCAGGATGAATAAACCTGGCTGAAGCACGATGCGCCGCAGCCATCCAATCCCCGCCTGGACTCGATATTATTCCCCTGCGTTCGAGGCTGTAATCACACACCCACATTTCAGGTTTCACCTTTTGCTCACATTTTCCTGCATCTCTGCTCCGTGACTCAGGTACAATCACAGGGTGCGTGAGCGAACGACATCATCGACAACAATGGCAGACGAGGAGACGTGTCAAAATGACACCTACACATGCAGTGATTGATAAGCGTGACAAATGAACACAACATTCATTAACCAACTAGCCAGCAGTGTCTCTCCTGCCTGAGGGAGGCTGAGCAGTGACACAGAGAGAGGAAGAGTAACTCTTTTTCTTCTCCATCAGTCTCTTCCGATTACTGCTCAAAAGGTGGGAGTGGGGAGCAGGTGGGGGGGGGAGGAAATGAAGGCAGAGGTATAGGCGGAGAAAATCTCCTTCAGGGCTAAGCCGAGGTGGGCTGGGGGATAAGAGCTTGACCAATTAAGCTGGAGGACTCCTCAGAAAATTGGAGTGAGCAGCCTCAGTCTTTTCACCGAAGTTCACTTCCATCTAGCACATGAAATGGGAAGTTGAAATAGGGATTGCCAGCTTGGTGATTGTTATACCGCAGCTAAAATCATAAAGAGTGTGTCTCTGCATGTGTGTGTGTGCAGTGTACACACAGTGCTCATGTGTATGTGTAGTAAGAGGCCGTCAGAAACAACCTGCAATGATTTTTGGCCCTTTTAAAAATAATTATTGGCCCACAAACGATCATGAACATTTTTTAAAAAACTGTTACACAATTAGATTTGATTGAAAATCCTCTGCTGTCTGAGGAGCTGTCAATGAATGAGGGGGAGGGAGGGTGTGCTGATGAAGCTCGACTCACCTAATAAACACATAAATAAACATAAACATACATGAATGATGTCTTCTTCAAAACAACAATCATAATTAAGACACAAGGAGGGCGTGCGGGAAGGTAAAGGGTGCTGCGGCTGTTAGCGGTGTGGCTGTCAGAGGAACAATCATCAGGCTCACGTTGTAATATCTGTGCTGTGCACCTGAATTACTATAAACTACTGCAAAATGAGCCAATCACTGAAAGAGCCAATTACTGTAAGACATATAAGAGCTGGTGTCAATCAGCCATTCCAGATTGATTACAGCTCTCTGCCAGAACTAATTCCATGTTTCATTCATTTCATCAAGTGAGAGATCCGAGTCAAGGAAGTGAACGTTTACAGCTGAAGGTTATACAGTTAGATGTGGAGGAAGAAAGGTTCGGCTGTTTGAGGGCGCTGTCGATGGACCCGAACAGCAATGAGGATTCTGCTGCGACCACAAATCCCCAATAACTACATTACTGCGACGAGCACGCTGTCGCCTGAGAAGGAGTTTAGACAACACGCTGGCTGCCCGCTGATAAGCATGCAGCGGGACACTGATTCAAGTGAAACATTTTAAACTATACATGAGAGGCTGCAGCAGGCGTGCACTTTTTATCTGACATATTACTTGGTAACATTGATTACTTGCAAATTAACATACGGTAGGATCCTAATGACATCTTGAGCCAAAATATAAATACACTCTGGATCCCCTATACAGTAACAGCTCACAGAAAAGCACCAAAACTACAAGTGGAAAAGGACTAATTCCACCAATTTATTGAGTATACTCCAATTATAACTGGATAACAGCAACAAGGCAAGCACTGTGATATGATCCTATTTTTAATAACACCATGCAAATGAACAGAAAGACCGGAACTCAATATATATTTGTCTCCGTGACGCAGCAGCACACTGAGCAGCCACCGGCACGAAAATCGACGCATGCATTTAAATGCCAATAATTCCTGCTCATTATAAATTAAAGAGCAACAGCAAAGCAATGAAACTAACCCAACAGACAAACAGCCATAGCATACTAACATTATAGAGGAAACAAAGACTGAAGGAAAACATGCTAGGAGTGAATAAAAGCTCCTGAGGTCACCATGCCCTGTCAGCGTGGGCATGGTGACCTCAGGAAATGCTGTGGCTTCAGATGCTG